TTATGGATGTGTAATTTTCTCAAACTTCAAGGGCGGAAGTAATCTTAAATTTTCTTTTACATATTCATAAATTTTTTTTTTATAATTTTAATTATTAATATTTATAAATTTTTCACTAGTTTGTAATTATTTTTTTAAAATTTCACTAATTTAATATTTCCCGAAACTTAAATTAAATCATATGGTTATTTTGTGGAAGAGTAAAATTAAATCATAAAAATATTGGAAATGTAAACAAAAGTTTGATTGGCTACCAAAAGTATTCAGAGTATATGTTAATAAATTTTAAAAAATCATACATTCTTCGTAAAAATATACATAATTAAAAAAAATTAAAAACTTTTTGAAAAGTGCCTTAAAAGCACACCTTAACAAAATATTTATTGATTTTCTTATTATTTTTTGCTAGATCTAAATCTCATTATACTAACATATGATATATACATTCTTAATATTTTTAAGTGGTTTAATTCTATGCATTTCTATCATTATTTTTAACCATGAATAGCATTTTTCATTGAGAATGGCTTCACTCCCATCTAAGTCTAAACTAGAAAGAACAATCTAAACAATATATTTGAGTTACATTGAAAAAGAAAAATTGTAAATTAAAATTTTAAATTTAACGCAATAAATATTGGATGGGTTTTATTGCTTGGGTTTAATAGTGGATTTGTAAATAAGTAGACAAAATCTATCCCATTAATTTACAAAAAAGCCTACGTGGTTAGCATCTGATACTTGGATTGAAGTTCTAATTTGTCGAATTGGAGACAATCTCATCCCTTCTTATTTTATCAGTAATAATGTTACACTTGTCTCATTTCCATATCATATTATATACTTATCATTTTATTTGTTAACATAATATTGGTATAATATGGTCTATTAATATATATTTTCTTCTTATGTTTCGAATTGGAGACAATCTCACCCCTTCTTATTTTATCAGTAATAATGTTACACTTGTCTCATTTCCATATCATATTATATATTTATCATTTTATTTGTTAACATAATATTGGTATAATATGGTCTATTAATATATATTTTCCTCTTATGTTTCTTCAATTTTCTGAAAAATAAGCTTGGAAGCTTGTCTTTCCATTTCTCAACCTCCTTGTGAGGTGTTGCTATACCGGAGCTGCCTTTAATCTCATCATCTGCCTCTCTCTGGCGTCGTCACTGTCATTGCTACTAGATCTACCTTCTCTTAGCCTCCACGGTCCCATCCACTTCAGATCAACCTCCAACCTTTCTTTGCTTCTTTGCTCTATCAAATTTGTTAGGTCGTTGGTGTCGTTGTTGTCTCTCTGCGTGTTTGAGGTCTGAAAGTAGTTTCCTAATTTGTTTTGTTTTTTTGGTGTTTAGTTGCATGATTAAGTTTCTATCAGTGTTTGATTATTGCTTACCCTATGGATATAAGCTATAATTTTATCTTCGACTCGCTCTATCGTCAAATGTTATGATCGACTCTGACTCTTCTTACACTACCAACTGTAATTAGCGTCCGGTGTTTTTCTCATAAGCACATGGGCCTTTCATTTGATTATTTTTTCATAATTTGTGATAAATTTTTTATTGGATGGATTCCTCTCATTTAACGAAATTTTCTATTGATAAAAGAGAAACTTCAAAGGACCTTGTCCTTGGACCCACTTGTTTTTGTAAATTATTATTGATTAAACTTAGTCTAAGCAATGGGTATGTGGTGATTGTCCACGTGGCATGATCAAACAAATCTAGACCGTTCATATACACAAAATCTAGTTTCCAAATAACTTTTAATTTTATATATTATCATTTATGTGACTAATGTACAACTTTTGTTCTTAATTCATGGAATGTAGGGAATAATTTAAGAAAAAAGGGCACGCTAATCTGAGGGCCAATAATATTTGGGTGGACCCGTTGGAAAGACTTCTTGATGGAATGGACGGTGTAGATGCAGTGATTAAGTTGACAAAAGTAGGGGTAAATCATATTTAACAGTTTGAGATTTAAAAAATATATGTAATAAATTTAAGATAATTATCTTGACTTTTTTTTTAAAAAAAAAATGAGTTATTTTAGGGATACCAAAAATTTTACCAAATATTTAATTAAATGTCTCATTGTGGGTGGACCCCGTAAGGTCCCACATGAGTGTGGGCTCCACACCCATATTAAAATTTGATCAAATATTTGGTGAAATTTTTAAAACTTCTAACATTTTTGTTTAAGAATTAAATTGACCGAAATTAATTTAAATAGGTATAGACACTTGGATAGTAAATTGTCAAATATATATTTTAATGTAAAAGAAATAAAAAAAATTAATGAAAAAATAACAAAGTGTTATGTGAGTTATTTTTTTTAAAAATATAATGTAATTATTTTAAATTGAAAATTATATATATATATATATATATAAACTAAGGTTGGACCTTTATAACAAATAAATCTTGATTTTTTTAATTTTGTTCATTTAAATTTTAATCTTTTGATTTGTTTTTAATCTAAACAATTTGCTTATTTCCATTGAGTAAAATCAACAAAAAACATATATTTTAGTCATTATACTCAAAAAAAGAAAAGAAAAGATATTTTATATATACCTACATTGAGTTGAATGATTAAAATATAATTTTTTCGTTAAAAAACTTAACAAAAATAAACAGATTATTTAGATTGAAAGTAAATAAAAATGCTAGGATGTCAATTTATAAAATTATAAATTTAGGGTTTATTTTGTGATAAGATTTTTTTTTATTTTAAAATTATAGAATTTGATGTATTTTTTTTTTAAGAGAAATATCTCATCTCCCATTTTATTATCCCCAATTGCATCTCTAATAATGTGACAAATATTATCAACTAATCAATTCTCTGCAGACTCTTCTCTCTTCTTTTAAAATTATTTACCACCTCATTAGAGATGTAATTGAGAGTGATGAAACGGAGGAGGCAGCAAAATTAATTTATTTATAAATTTTGAAGAAAGATGGTATAATTTAATCCACGAAGAAGTATGTGATGCGCATAAAGCACAAAATAGTTAAAGTACTGTTACTTGCAATGACTTTTTAGCCTATTAACCTGTCAATGCTCACTACTCAAAATAAATAAATAAATAAATAAATAAATAACCCATCAATTAGTGAAACCCAACTAAATTGATGATGCTAGTCGTCCATTTTGAAACACTTTCTCCATCATTTATGTTATTCTCTCTCTATCTTTTCCAAAATTTTTAGTTTGTTTTAATTTTGTGAGGAAAATATCATATGAATGAAAACATGAAAAGCATTCACAAATTATTCTCTTTTTAAATTCAAAACAAAAAACTATTTGGCATATTATTGTTGTTTAAAAAAAAGTGCAATTGATTATGAAATTTTCAAAAAAATTGAAAATAAAAAATATGATTTTACTCTTTTTTCTTTTTCCATCACTCAACACTTTTATTGACTACCACAAACCTCTACACCACTAGTTATTGACGATATCCAACAAGCTCTGACAATCAGTTGGTCATCTAATTTTCGATTATCCATGGATACTCTACCATGTCCATTTACTTTTCATCGTGCCACTATCATATCCGTCTACCCCTCATTGTCATCTATCACCTTTAACAATTCATAAGACATGTTTATTTATTTTTGTTTAAAACAATTTTGTACATTAAATAACTTTTTATTTTCAATTAAAAATAATAATTAGTTGTGTTATTTTTTTATAAACATAAAAACAAAAAACTTCAATGAGTGCAAATGGGAAATATGTTATTTTTACGCAATTCTCATTTGCACCACATATGTGTCTCACACTATTAATTTGCAATTATTTTTTTATTTTTCATTTATTAGATATTTATCCACACACACACACACACAAAAAAAAAACTTGTTCTAAGTCTTTTTTTTAAGTATTTTATGCTGGAAAATTATATCAAAACCTGAAACTAAAATAAAAAAACTGTAAAAGATTATTTATTTATTAGCACCTTTGGTGTTTGCTTTTTAGAGTAATGATCCTTTCATGGCACCTGTTGAACCCAAATTGGTCACAGCCTATCATCATGGTTGAAATTTTACAAATCCAAGGTCAGTGCATTACACATCATTTGGGAACCACACGGAAACTATATACTTTGAACCATATCGATGGTGAGGATGTGACTGTGACACACAGCTTTGTGACTCTAGATCAGTTAACCTCAGTAGATAAATAAATGTATTTATCCACATCATGTCACCATTTACACTTGAGGATATAAACAATTTTCTTTACTTAGAACAAAAAAAAAAATTGTGTTTTTCAAAATCATACTTTTCTTTTTAAATATAATACAAAATAAGAAAAAAAAAAATCACTTTCACGAAAAAATGCTTCACTTATATTTTATTAATTTATAATTAATTTTTTTATTTCTCATTTATCTCATATTCTAGCAATGTTTTTGGATAAATATTATGGATTTGTTTGGTTTTGCTTTTCAAAAAATTTAAAAAACAGAAACTAATTTGATAAAAAAATACTGAAATAATAATTTTGAATTTAAAAAAAATATATTTATACCTCCCAAAAAAATAAAACTATATGAAAATGACCAATATTTTTCATTTTTTCATTTTTTTTTATCAAATTATGATTTAGATTTAGAATTTTTTTTTTCAAAAAAAAATTCTAAAAATTAAACCAAACAAAATGTATTTGGCAGAATTATAATTTGCACTGGACACATGGTTACATTTTACTAATTTATAATTGTTATTTTTAATTTATGTCATACTCTGTTAATGTTCTTGGATAAAATTTATATATCTTTCAGAAAAGTCTATAGTCAAAAAGAATAGAAAAATTTCTTTACCTTCATTGTAGGTTAACAATATATTAATGTTATAAATAAAAACAAAGAATTGTAGAAATATTTCATTTACATAAAAAAAGAAAAAGAACAAGAAAAAGAAAAAGAAAAAGAAGCTATTGAAAGCTGAAACATTCACTTCATATACAAATACAAGAAGAAGAGGTCATACACAGACACAACCCTCTTCCCCATTTCACCTTCCTTTCCCAACCATTTATTATAATATTCCCAAATGGTCTTTTCTTTTTCCCATTGGATTGTACAGATTACCAGCTGAATTCTTCTCAATCCCTTAATTTCTTGTTGATTTTTGCTATTTTCAGTGGTTTTTCTGAGACTTTAAGATACAAAACTCTTCTGGGTCTTCCTGGGTTTTTTTTTGTTTTTTTTTTCTGCAGTACTTTCTCTGAGTTTCTTGCAGTAAAACTTCTCATACCCATACCCAGTAAGTAGTATATATATATTCCATAAAATTTCCTATTTTTTATTTTTTTTTTTCCCTGGGTTTAGGCTTTGCTTTTTTTTCTTTCTTCTATTTCCTTTCAATTTTCTCTTTAATTTTCTTGTTGAAACTGAGGAAAAGAGAGAATTAAAGACATGGGCAAACAAGGACCTTGCTATCACTGTGGTGTCACAAGTGAGTTCTTGTTTCTTCAATATTTTTTCCCCCAAAATTTTGAATATTCAAGAAAAATTGGTTCTTTTAGGCTCTTTATTTCGTGTTTTTTTCCTCAAATTTTTTTATATACTTTATATGGTTTTGTGCGCATAGATTAATTTGTTCAATGATGGAAGAGAATACCCATATACTGGTTTATTTCTAAAAGGAGTATATTACCTCTGCCAAAGAAAATAACAATAATAATAATATGTGTTATTATAATTATTATTTTTTGTTTATGTTATTGGGTTGTAACAGAACTACATGTGCCCTTGAATCTGTGAATATCAATACTGGGTTGATTTTGTGTTTGTTTGTATATGGAATTGGGTTTTTTCTTTTTTGTGTTTTTCTCAGATTTTCTGATTCCTGTTTGGCTGTTCTGAATTATCCTTTGCTCAGTCTTTCAAGGACTGAGCAATTTCAGAGTCCATATTTGGTTCTCTCTCCCTTTTCGTTGTCTGTTGTCTTGGAGGTGTTTGTGTTGAAAATGAACCCTACCACTGGTTCAAACCATAATTTCTTTTTGTTTCTTAATTCCTAATTCTTGATGAAACTGGAAAAATGTGCTTTCTGAAACACTCTTGTTTCAATTCCTTTCCGTGTCGAATCTAGTTTTTGCTAGTCTTCCGGCAAAACTTACTGCCAAACAAGTCACTTGTGATTGTTCAAATCAAATCTCCATATTTATCAGTGCAGAATATTTGCTCTTATTATTTTCAAAAATTCATTGTGAATTGATCTTGCAACCAACATAAATTGTTCGTTTTCAACCGCATTCCTCAATCTTGGTTACCAAGATTGTTCTACAACCCTTTGCCTTTTAAACCATTCAGTTTAGTTTGTATTAGGGATTGATTTGTGTCTTGGTAGAATCTCAAATTTAGATATTAACTTTCAAGTCTTTATGCCATTGTTTTCTTCACCCCGTGGAATTTGATTTGTTGTCTTATAGCGTAGTGAGTAGTGCAGTGTCTGGAGGTCTGGAACATCTGTACTCCTCTGATCAACAATGCTTTAGATTAAACAATTGTGTTTTGGCTATTGAATTCATTTCTGCTGTAACTTGAAGTGGTTGTTAACTCCAACATTGTCTCTTGCTTGTCGATTAGCTTGTTATGGAAATGGTAGTGCAGAGTGGTCCCGATAAGTAGCCAATGGTTTGTACTTTGTACCTTCTAGTGTGCCACTCAAAAGTTAAAATGACACTACGCTTCAAGAATGCTAAATGATTTTCAAGGACAGCCTAGGCCATTTGTCCAACTTACATACTTTTGAGGACCTTCCCAATTTTGTTTAGCTCAAATGGCGCCTTCCTTCTGTCAATCTTAGGAACCATTGTGCTCATTCAATCAAAGGGCATTGACTACATCTTTGTGATTGTTAACTTCATCTAAAGATTTTGTGTACACCTTTACATTTGTTGTTCTAATTTGTTTGTATCAAAGAAGACTGTTTCAGTAAACTTATGTTGTGTCAAGTCACTGAAAAGAATGAAATAGTACTAGCAACTAGAATCTATCAAATCCCCTCATTTTGGACTTGGAATTTCCAAACCTGTTATAGGATGTAGTTCGTTTTAGTCGTGTGTACTCAGAAGTGGATTCTGTTTTTGTTGTCACAAATGAGAGTTTTATACTCTTCCATTTCCTTTAGCTATCAAACTGTGCTTGATAAGCACATTCTTTCCGTGCTCAGTTAAACCTTCATTGTTGGTCTGTGCCATTGCTCACGCGCTGTTATGTGTTGGATTAGTTTCAAACGTCTAATTCAGTTAGAGATATATAAAGAGTTTTGCTAGTGAAGTCTCTAGGACACACAAATGCATTCTGATTGGAGAGGTTTGGTCAGTTTATGCCATCAAGTTTCTGCTATCTAGGTTTATTTTTAGATAAAGAAAGCAAAAAAGAAAAAAAAAGGAAGGTATTTACAGGCATTTCTTTCAAGTATGCTCTTTATGTACTGTAAGTTGAGTACATAAAAATTACATATTCAAATGGTTACTACAATTTCCAAAATGGCCAAGATCTTTCTATCACTCATCAGTTAGTAACTTTTTGTATGTGAAGTCTTGTCACAGTCATAATAATGACTTTGTTATGGCATGCATATATGTATTTAGTTTTGTTACTTCTCGGTAATGTTTGTATGTCTTTTTGACTGAATTCGACTAAAGTTTCAGATGAGAAGTTCCTCCTGTTTCTTTCATGTTCATCTGTCTTATTTATCCATTCTTGTCCCTTTATTGATTGATCATTCTGTGTTATTGCTGACAATGAAGTGTTACTACTACAGGCACTCCTCTTTGGCGTAATGGGCCGCCAGAGAAGCCAGTACTGTGCAACGCCTGTGGATCCCGGTGGAGAACAAAAGGAACACTTGTAAACTACACACCTCTACATGCTAGAGCAGAACCCGATGAGTTCGAGGATTACAGGGTTTCAAGAGTGAAGAGCATATCTATTAAGAACAAAGAAGCAAAGGTGCTAAAAAGAAAACAAAATAATGACTACGCAGTAGTTGGAAGGGTTGATCCCGATTATAACCAGTTTTCGCAGAAGGGTCTGGACGAAGATACCAGTAATCGATCAAGTTCTGGCTCTGCCATATCTAATTCTGAGAGCTGTATGCAGTTTGGCAGCGCAGATGCAAGTGACTTGACAGGTTGGTCGGTCACTATATCTGCATGCTTTATGTCAATAGTGTTGATACTCCCAAATGTGAACCTCTTTTTCTTCTCCAATTTGAACTTTAGAGGTCTGAGAGTTACATAACATAGCCATTTTACTGATTGTAATAGAATGGATCACATGCCAGTTCAAATGGGAAATGCCAGTCAAAATACATATGCTATGTTTTGAAAAGTGTATTATGAAAATATATCTTATGCACTCACCTTAAAATCTAGTCTGCAAAACTAGAATAGTGATTGTTCCTTAAAATTTGTATTTATCTTGTCAAAAAAGTTGGCTTGATGCTTATTTCTTCATTTTTGTGCCACTATTTCATTAATAATCTGTCGTGCCAATGATATAGTTAAAATGACACACCTGGTCCAATGGCATTGCCGAAATTGTACTTTAATGAAATAAATGGAGCAGAAACCTGGATTTTATCTTTGATTTATCTCATTTAAAGCAATTGTTGTTTCATAAATGGGTGGTGTTTTCTTTCTTCACCAGCCCCCTCCCCCTGCTAGTGCAATTATTTTGTTCCCTCAGTGTATAATTTAAATCAAACCAAACCAAACCAAACTAAGTCTTGTATCTCAATCAAGTGGGGTCGGCTACTTAAATCTTCTTTTGCCATTCTGCTCTATGAAGGCTATATGCTCAGTTAAATTAAATAAATTTCTATCTTTTTTCACTACCACATCCCATGTTAGCTTAGTTCTTCCTCTTCCCATAGCATCTCCTTTTATGACGATCATACATATCACTTTTCCTTACTGTCATCATGATATGCTTTACTAGTATACTTGATATGTCTTACCAACTCCAGAAGGTTCTTTCCCCATTGATTGTCCTTTCAGGTCCAGCCCAGTCCAATGCGTGGGACACAACGGTGCCTTCAAGGAAGAGGACATGTTTCAATCGTCCAAAGCCATCTTCAGTGGAGAAGCTGGCTAAAGATTTACATACCATCTTACATGAACAACAGTCCTCACACTTCTCTGGATCTTCTGAAGAGGATTTGCTTTATGAGAGCAACACACCTATGGTCTCTGTTGAGATAGGACATGGAAGTGTTCTTATTCGACATCCGAGCTCCATAGGTAGAGAAGAGGATTCTGAAGCTAGCTCTCTTTCAGTGGATAACAAACCACATCCAGCAAGTGAGGCTTATTCCCATTTGACTGCCCTTCCTGTACATATTGATAATAAGGGTGCCAACTTTCCCAGTCTGGAGATTGAAAGAATCAAGAAACCAAATGGACAAGGGATGCAACAAGAGCAAATTAAAAGGTATTGCCTTTCTTTTATTTTAACCATGAATAAGTCAAAATCTCCTTCAAATATGAAATTGATCGTACTATTTTTAAAGTGGGATGCCTGAATATGAAGGTCTTTCGCACAATGACTTCCACTAAATATGGAAAGTGCTACAAGTCTACAATTAAGAACACAAACTGGTTTTGTTGCCAACCCTAGAAGGTCTTCAATATACCTCCAACAAAAAGAATAGTATGTGCCAGGGACACCCCAAAACCTTTTTTTATTTTTATTTTTATGAGTTCTGGTGATTTGGTTGTTAACTGGATAGACATTGTTATCAGAGCTCTGGTTCCAGTCCTGGGTTCAATCTTCTCACTTGTGCATTTTCTGTCATTGTGTACTTTGTTCTGTCTATCTTCGTGCACCGTATTCACTCAGTCTGTTTATCTCTCCACCTGCAAGACAAGGTCACATGTGAGGGGAAGTGTTAGCTTGATATACATTGTTGAGCTCATTTCTTAATAATTTAAGATTTTGAGATGGTGATCTAGCGCTAGTGTGATATGTCAGTATGCTGGGGGTAGAGTTACCACTTTGCTTGGGAAAATAATTGCATAAATAATCATATAAACTTTTGGCTAGGGGTGAAATGTAACTTACATGGGTACACCTGTCTACAGAAACTTCTATTAAGCAATTTGAGAATAAATTGGAAACACTTTGCTTCACAAGTTAAATTTATATCTGTCTATTTATTCTACTTTTTTGTTGGAATTTTAGGGACAATGCTCAGCATGAAAAACTACAGATTTCGGGAAATTATAACTCACTACTCCATTATGTAGATCTAAAAGTAAGTTCCATGTCTATTCATTTTCTCTAATATTATGCTTAGAAGCCAACTCAATCGAATATGCTGTCATCTAATTTTGCAGCGGAAGACTCCATGTGTGCTCATTTGTCAAGGTCATTGTGCCAAAGATCTTGACATTTGTAATATGATCGGCACTTGAGTGTGTAAAACTTTCATATTCTTTTATTCACATCAACTTTTCATGATTAATGCAATTGTGTCCCCGAAGTCCTGACTACTTTTATATTCTTGATTTCTAGGCAAATGCTAGGCTCCTAACTCCTCTAAAATATTTTCCCAGCATCCAAGTCCGTTCTTGGATAACTTTCAGGAGAAGAAAATATTTTCTTTCCCCTGCCATCTGTGATTTGTTTTTTGCCAATTCTTCCTTGTTCATAGTACAATGATCCTAGAATTCAAATTTGTTGCTGCTGGTAAAATATGTTCTTAAACCATTTAGAGTTATCTTGACTACTGTCCATATTTGGTGCAGGATATTTTCAACTTTCAGGAGTTTGCAAGTCACCTGACAAATGAAGAGCAAAAGCAATTGCTCAAGTATCTCCCTTCTATTGATACTGCCAGACTTCCTGATAGGTTTCTACCTTGGTCCTTAATGTTTCATTTTCTACCCGTTGTGTCTAAGCACAAAGAATCATGTCCAATTTATTTAATTACTATGGAATAAATTATAAGATTTTGTTACTAGTGATGCATGGAAATCATTTCCTCTGCTTCTCAATAATCCACTTTTTCAGCTTAGTTACGCTATTTCTACCTCATAAGCTGTAAGTAGAAGCTGCACCAAACACTGGCACAGATTTTCAAAATTAAAATTATTATAAGGAGCTTCATAAGCTGCACCAAACAGCCATTATAATCTGTACTGGAATAAATGAACTTGCCAATTTATAAATACCCAAATCAATCACACAAAATTCTTAAAATCTTGGGTGCTATGTATGCTAATATGAATTCTTTTTCAATTTCAAGTTGTTACTGATTGGGAACAAAACAATAAATTATGGTATTGACTTCCAGTTTTTCTTTTTCTTTTTCTTATTTCATTTTCATTTATCTCCATCGTCAAGGCATTGCCTTACTATCCTCTATTCCTTATGCATGGGCATATCATACTGTAAATCAAGGTTCTGAAGCTAATATATGGTCCGACACTGATGATGTTTCTTTTTTCCTCTTTTTTTTTTTTTCCCTTTTTTTTTTTTTTTTTTTTTTTTGGTGGCATCTGCAGCCTTAAAAGCATGTTTGGTAGCCCTCAATTCAAGGAGAATCTATCCTCCTTTCAGAAGCTCCTTGCAGAAGGGGTTTTTGATCTTTCTTTGTCAGGGGTGAAAACTGAAGACTGTAGGACATTGAAGAAGCTTGCATTATGTAATTTCACAAAATCAAAGTGGGTGGAACAATATAATCTGCTCAAGGTTTGAACTAATTTTGAAGAGAATGAATATTTTGCCATGATTTATATTTGTAAATGACTGTACAACTGTATTAATACTAACATTCTATTCTGGTTGTAGGATGTAAAAGGTAAAAGTAGTAATGGAGGGTCAGTAGTTCCGGGAGGACCTAATGCGATTGTATCTGGTAGTTCCACAAGTGTAAAGAGATCACGTGACGGCCAATTTCAAAATTTTCCAGGTTAGACCATATGTTACTTTGAGAGTAAATCATTAGATGGTTTAGAGTCAGTTTACACAACTTCCTGTTAAAAAAGAAATGCAGTTAAAGGTTGAACCGCAAAATGAGTTTGAAAGTTGAATAAGTAGACTTAGTTTCTGTTATTTAAATGAGCAAGTAGAACATAAAAGACAAAAGGATTATGCATAAGTTCATAATTTTTTTGTTCCAAACCGTAATCATGAATTTTTTTCGCGCTTTTCCTAAATGACAGACTAATTCAATTGTGTTGGTTGTGTAAAATGATAATTGAACGGAAATCTATCTTGACAATTATTTGCATGATTTTTCTCAGAACATCTTTTGGTACACATTGTATTTAAACTTATTTTTATTCATCTTAACAAACTTATTCAAGAGAAGGTGGAGCTGAATATTCAAGAGAAATAGAATATTTGACAAAAAAACATAATTTTTGACATAAAAAAAGTACTAACAAAAAAACATCACCGCCTCTGCTAGGTTCTTTTAATTTTTAGTGTTCAAAAGCATTCTTTTCTATGGTTCTGGTGGTTTATGATGGGTTATGATGACCAGGCATACACAATCCCGACAATTTTGTATAGGCTGTGTTTGGATTCACATTTCCCTTCTCTTTTCTTTTCCCTCCACAAATCCCTACCCAAATCTAAGATCAAAACACAGCCTTAAAGTTGATTATTGGGATTATCATGACTTTTATAGTTCTCTATTTCTTTTAAACCCTAGAGACATCACATTATAGGCATATGCATTTAGCATAGTAGGAGAAATAGTACACTTTGAGTCTCAACACCGAGTCCTCTCAATGAGTACCAAAACTGTATTGAGATTTGAGTTTAAATTTAAGAGTAAGAGATTATGTGAATTGCTAAACCCCAGAAGAAGCTATTGGAACATGTATATGTATGAGATGTGTTTTGCTATAATTTTTTATATTGAAGAACCGTCCTGTCTTTCAGGATCAAAGACAACAATGAAGAGCCCAAAAAGGGTGATGAAAGGCAGCCACGAACACAAGGAACTCATGGACAACGATGGCTCTTGCTTTAGTCCCGGAAGTCAATTTGTATTGCCTCCTCCTGATAGTAGCTCCCTCATGTTAGACTCTTTCCAGTTCATGGATGAGAGTTCTGATCAAGATCTGCTTCTGGACGTGCCATCCAATAACTCGTTCCCACAGGCAGAACTCCTGCTCCCGGCTTCATCACGTTTTGGTGGTGCCACCCTAGCAAGCACTAGTCGCAGCTCCGCACACCCACAATTTGGCCGACCCTGACAGTGCTTTTTCAAAATGCCTACTTTTAACTAGGCTATTTTAAGGAACCATTTCTGTTAAATTATGTCGGGATACACATATTTTGCATGCCAAACATACACACAAGTCTATGTGAATGAGGTTTGATAGTTGCTTGTTCTTTTTCTTGGCCTGTGTTCAAACTTGGAAGTGCTAAGGGGAGATTGTGGGTGGGCTTTTTTTTGTATAGGGTTGACAGAAGATTGTAATATATAGTTTGAAATGCAGAAGAGGTGGTAAGTTTCTGAGTTTTTGTATGCAGCTTAGCTGTTGACTTGCATAATAAACTTCAGATAACCCTTCTGTTGGCTGCTTATTGTGGTCATGAAATTATACTCGTTTGGCCTCGATGAAAAGATGTTGAAGCTGGTTGGCCCAAATACTTAGGATCAAACTCTTCTTTTGAATATGAAAAAATGTGGGATCTATTCTATGTAGTAGAATCAACAGAATGGAGTTCCTTCTCTATAACTCTATAATAGAGAATTTCCTCCCGGTGTTGTGGTGCCCTTTCGAAATAGGGGCTTAATCATATTAGATTCTTCCCAAATGAAAAGGGTGGTTTGGCCCAACCTAGTAAGGCTTTCCGTTAGTATACTAGTGGTTTGGGTTCCTCCACTGAGAAAGGTTTATTCAGAGTTAAGAAAACAGCCTTTCAAGGCGATGTACAATTTGGCTACTAAATTTAAGGCGTTGATTAGATGTTTAATGAGTTTTCTAATTAAAGCTAATGTAATGCACCAATGTTTGCTTAGGATTAAATTCTAGCTTGTTTTGGCAATCATTATTTTGAGAAGATAGAATCATCATTTGTGCTTTAGTTTTGGTGCTTGGGGGCTCTTGGAGTTGTACTATGAGCCAAGATGGACTCGGTGGACTGGAGAAGAAGTCTTGCTGTAATTTCATAATATGATTTCAACTGGTTGAGAATTAGATTAGATCTGACCCGATTCATAATTCATGAAGGATTCACATGGATTATTTCTTAGACCCACGTACTCAAATAAAGAGATCTTATTTACAATAGGGTGATTGTAAATGCCTATACAACATCTTTTATGTCTAGGAGACTAATCACTATATACAGGTACAGAAAATATGTTGGATATATCAATAACGAAACACTATACAGAAAATACACAGTTGAACTCAATCAATCCTCGTACCCCTCCGGCGGCCACCATCTAGGCCGAGGGAAACTCACACGCCGCCTCTTGGCAGTCTCCAAGAAATCCACATCCTCCTCCTCGGCTCCACCACCACCCACCTCCCCTGCAACCCTTTTCAATGCATCCAAAATATCCTTAAAAATCTGGTTCTTCGCCGCCAAATTCCCCGGCCCCGCCATCTCTCCCGCATTCTTCCCTTGCCCGGTGATGGAAGGCGGCAATTCTCGCCGCCCACCAACACCAACCACCACTTCATCGCCCTTATTGAGGAGGTCTTCTCCTACCTCGGTTTCTCTTAGAGGCAATTCATCAGTAACTTTGTCCGCACCCAATAATACTTCACCAATTCCTTCAACCTCTGAATCAACAACTTCAGTGCTTCCATTTCCATGGCGGTGCCCACCAACACCAGCCACCGCTTCGTCGCCCTTATTGAGGGCTTCTCTAAACTGGGTTTCTCTCAGAGGCAATTCGTCAGTCACTTTGTCCGCACTCAATTCTTCACCAATTTCTTCAACCCGTGAATGAAGAACTTCAATGCTGCCATTTTTATGGCGGTCACGAGCTTTGTGATCGGAGGCAAATCTGGATTCTCTAGCTAAAAGCATAAGTTTCTCCAATTCCTCAAATTCCCTCTCGAAAACGTCACAATTAGCAGCAACACCTCCTCCATCAACGCCCCCACGAGAACTACCAATCACCTGCGTCGATTTCACTCCCGAAAACCCTAGATTATCGGAGTCATTACCCAAATCAACCGCTCCCTCGGCGTCCACAGTCTCGCCGACATCGACGGCTGCAGTGGGAGGTCTCTGCTCTTCGGAGCTGACGTGTAGAGAGTCCTGAAGACGGGTCTGAAAGTCTTCTCCTCTAGAGCTCTCCGGTGGAGAGACCATGATGATTCCTGTGGGTTCTACCGGAATTCCAGAGGACTCCGACGACGGTGACTGGTCGGAGAAGAGCTCTGATTCACGAGCAAACGGGCAGGTTCGAAGAACATCTTCTTGGGACGATGTGGGTTTGCAGGTTTTGATGAGCGAGGCAAAAGGGTCGTCTTCTTCCTCCATTTTCTGAAAGGGTTTTGGTTTGGTTTGAAGCTTTTTTGGGATAGTGATGGTGTGTGACTACAAATTACAATCCTGAGTTTGAAGTTTAATTATAAGAAAAAGGAAAAAATTACTAATAAGTTCTAAACGGAGAAAAGTTAAATTATTTGGTTCTAAGAATTTTTTTGTACATCAATTAGTCTTATTCTTTTGGTTTTTTTTTTTTTTTTTTTTTTTTTTTTTTTTTTTTTTTTTAATTTTACATGTGTACCCTTGATTTTGTTTTCTTAATTGATTGATTCAGTTTCAGATGAGGATAAAAAAATGTTATCTTCGGGATTTCGTTTTTGAATTGTTTAACATTGTTCTCATTGTTTTGGGGGAAGAGTGTGTTGTTCTTTTTGTTTAGGGGTGAGAGTGTGTTATTCTTTTTGTTTAACATCGTTCTCATTGATTCCTTTTTTTGTTTTCCTAATTGGTTGATTCAAGCGTTCTTACGGTCATTATAGTGTACCAGGTAAGTAATTTAATTGTTGGTGTGTTGGGATTTATTTTTTTTATTTTGTTGAGTGGTGTGTGTGGCTGGGTGTTTTGGGTGCATTTTTTTTTTTTTTTTGAGGGGAGGGGAGGGTTGTGTTGTTTTGTGAGTGATAACTGCTGGTGTGGATGACTGTTTTGTGTGTTTTTTTTGCCGACATTAATATCACTTACGTCATGCCAATTGGTCTTTAACACTGGGGTGCACTACGAGAAAAGTGGGCTTATGAGAAGGAACTTTTTGTGACGGCACATTTGCCGTCGCAAAAAAAGATTTTTTACGACGGCACAACTTGTCGTCTCAAAAAATGTGACTTTTTGAGACGGCACAATTTGCTGTCGCAAAAAAAAATAGAGTATTTGCGATGGCAGAGATTGCTGTCGCAAAAAAAAATAGAGTTCTTGCGACGGTACCAGCTGCAGTCGCAAAAAAAAAAAAGAATTTTTTGCGATTGTAATACGTACCGTTGCAAAAAAAAATAAATAAATAAATATATATATTGTGGCTTTGAGACGGCTTCATATATATAGTCATAAAATAGTTTAAATAAATGCAACAGTATTTTTCTGTTACAAAAAAAAAATAAAAAAATAAAAAACGACGTCGTCTTACTCTTTTGAACATTTCTCTTTTCACCCATTTTTTCATCTTTCTATCTCTCTGTCTCTATCTCTGTCTCTCTTCTCTCTCACTCACCACTCTTCTTTGTCTGTCTGTCTCTTTCTTTCTCTCCATGTCTCTGTCTCTCTTCTCTTTCTCTTTCTCTTTCTCTTTCTCACTCATCACTCTTCTTTGTCTGTCTGTCTCTTTTTTTCTCTCCATGTCTCTGTCTCTCTTCTCTTTCTCTTTCTCACTCATCACTCTTCTCTGTCTGTCTGTCTCTCTGTCTCTTTCTCTCTGTGTCTCTCGTCCATATTTATTCTCTTTATCTCTCTCATCTCCTTTCTCTCTCTCTTCTGTTTATCTCTCTCGCTCTGTCTCTCTCTCGTTTATCTATTTTCGCTCTTTTTTTTTCTCTCTCTCTATATCTTTTTATCTATTTTTTCATCTTCATCTCTTTCTTCTCTTTCTCTCTCTTACTCATCACTCTTCTCTTTTTGTCTGTCTGTCTATTTGTCTCTTTCTCTCTCTGTGTCTCTCACTCATCTATCTCTTCTCTCATTTCTTTTCTCTCTCTGTCTCTTTTGTTCATCTCTCTTCTCTTTATCTCTCTCACCAATCTCTCTTCTCTCTATCTCTCTCATCCCTCATCTTTCTTTGTCTTTCTCGCTCATCTCTCTTCTCTCTATCTTTCTCTCTGTCTCTCTCGTTCATCTCTTTTCTCTTTATGTCTCTCTCGCTCATCTCTTTTCTCTCTATCTCTCTGTGTCTCTCTCGTCCATCTCTCTTCTCTCTCTTTTCTGTCTCTCACTCTCTTTCTCTTTTTCTTTCTCTCTCTCTCTCTTTCTCTTCCACTATGTTTGCGTTGCTCACTCTCTCCCTCCCGTCTTCTCTATTTACTGAGCTCCCTTTCGATTTATTGATCAATTACAAGAAAATGCACTTTTAGCAACCACTTTGTCTCTCTCTCACTCATCACTCTGTCTCTCTTTCTCTTTCTCTCTCTCTCTCTCTCTTTTATCTGTCTCTCACTCATCTCTCTCTTTCGCCACCCATCTCCTCCTTTCGCCACCCATCTCCTCCACCACCTTCACCACTACTGTAAATGCAATTCCACTACCACCACTACTTCCACTGTCGCCACTTCACCTCTACGACTACCATGACTACTATCATTGCCACCACTCCACTACCACTACCACTACCACTACCATTACCACTACTACTACTACTATTACCTCTCATCCACCGCCGCCACTCTATCTCCTACACCACTACTACAACTTCATCACTAATCTCCTTCGCCATCACCACCACCACCACCACCTCTTATCCACCACTTTCACACTATTGTCGCTCCCTCTCCTCTACTACAAAAAATTTGTTTGGTTATGATTTTTTAATAGAGAGTTGAATTGAGTTTTGAATTGTATGTGGAATTGAATTTTGAAAGTTTGATATGACATGTGAAATAAAAAAATTTGTTTGGTGATGAGTTTTCAAAACTTAATTAAACCAATAATTGATAATCAAACACACAACTCATAACTCGATATCCGTATTTTTGATCAACAGTCATAACCAAACTATTTTTAAAGAGTTCGGATCCTCGACTGCGTTTTCCAGCGGCCCGTCCTGCAGCGCCCCAAAACGACGTCGTTTTGGGGTGAGATTTCAATTAAAAAAAAAAACACAGAATCAGAAATAGAGAAGAGAGAAAAGAAGAAGAAAGAAGCAGTGAGGAAGAGAGAAAGGACTGTTGCCGATCGTTGCCATTTCCCTCCGATCGTCCGTTGCCGATCGTTCGTCGTTCACCGAACTGTTGAGTCAGATCTGTTGATACCGATTGAAAGAGACCGAGATGGGAAGTAAAGATGAATTAATGGAGGCTCTCAAATAGGAAGCTGTTGATTTGGTACTGAATCTGACTCTGTTGTGATTTTTACACCCTCTGTGTTGTTTTTTATTCAGTGAAGGTGTGCTTTGATGGGTTTTGA